ATAACGGCTTTCCGCAAAATAATTTTCATTGGATGCATTGGAAGCCTGCATTTCTCTGACGATGAAGTAGTTTTAGACGAAGAATTAACCCGGTGTTACAGGACGAGAGCGTTTCGGTCACTCAGTAACGAGAATTGCTTAAACTGAATGAAAAATCAGTTTTCCTGTTCCGCAGAAATCGTTTATAAAGTAGCACACTCTCTTAGACAGTGGTAGATCCTCACTAATAGAAATACCCGTTCATCTCTTCCTCCGTTTCTTTTTTTTTACGCCTGCACAATCTTATAGTTGGAATTCTTGTCCTGTTTCATATACTCATAGCTTGCGCTTTATAGAATTATGGTTTGTCTACGGAGAAACGCGTTAGGCCGCTGTAAACCGATTTGCTTCGTACTGGAGTTAAAATATTTGCACTGATTGACAGTCTGTTGAAGCGTACTTTGTCGAGATGAAACCCTCGAAAAATTCCTTATTCCTTCCATTTCTAAAGTTCCCCGTTTCAGATATTATGGCGCGAAAGCGGCCGCGGCAGAGCGTTTCGGATAGTCCGACAGCGCTCGAGAAAACCATTGCAAATAGTCTGGAATTTATCCAGGGATTTATCTACACTGCACTGCAGAAGCAGAAGGAGCAAGAACAAGAGAAGGAGAAAGCAAAAAGCGCAAACACAGCCCTCTTCGAATGCATCGACCATCTCACAGCCGACATGTCACCGATGGAACGCCAGGAAGCTGTCCGAGAAATGAAGAGAGCTTGCGTGAGCATTTGCGGTAAAATTATTAATAAGTCAAAGGATGCAACGTAAAGTGTCTCTTATCAAATAGGTTATTGTTGTGACTGAATGACTTTTTCCAGTGTAACTGCATGGCATATTTTCCTGGGAGGCGTGCGATTCCAGCTAAGATTGTCATGTGAAATAGGCAAATGCTTTGGAATTTCTCCCCTTTTGTTACATTTCCTTTTCCAAGACCCAGATCTCTTCATAAAATAATCGGTTTATGTGGCAAATTGTTAGTCAAATACCGAATGGAAGAGATTCAGGATAAACCAAAGCCGAAGAATAACCGCAGAACATCTGGAACAGTCATTCAGTATGTTTGCCTTCACATATGTGTAGGTTTTTATGCGTATAATATGCATTCGAATCAAATCGATCTTCGATGAAAATTCGAGCAGCGAAGATCTGGGTAATCAGAAGGCATTGCATTGGTAATTTTATGCATGGTAAAACTAC